GTTCAACTCCATCTCCATCTCGGGTTACCACATGCAGGAGGCGGGTGCTGACTGGTGAGTTTATGGGGATACTGGTAAGGCGGGGACCGGGGCTGACTAGTAGGGCCGGGGCTGTGCTGTGCGCTGTGTCCCCCCCTCCCCCGTCCCACTCTTTTCAGCGTGGTGGAGATGGAGTGTACGACCTGCTCAGGGGCTTGTGCCTCTCCCTTTTTTCCTGCTTCTCGATCTCTCGTCCACTCATGCGTGTACACTCTCTCTCTCTCTCTGTGCTGTGTGCTGCGTGCTGTGCGTGCGCCCCGTGCCCCTCTCCTTCCTCCTACCAGTGCTGTAGAGATGGCGTTCACCATTGCGGACGGCCTGGAGTACATTCGGTGCGGCATGGAGGCGGGCGTGGGCGTGGACGAGCTGGCTCCGCGCTTCTCCTTCTTCTGGGCCATCGGCATGAACTTTTACATGGAGGTGCGGGCCTACACGTGGGGGTAGGGAGGGAGTTCTGCATTTAGGTAGGGGTTGTGCATGGAGGTACGGGTTTGAACATGAAGGGACGAGCTGGCTCCGCGCTTCTCCTTCTTCTGGGCCATCGGCATGAACTTCTACATGGAGGTGCGTGGAGGTGGGGAGTTGTGCGTGGAGGGCTTGAGCATGGAGGTAGGGGCGTGCACGTAGGGGTAGGGACTTGTGCTTGGAGTTGCCGGCTTGAACATGGAGGGACGAGCTGGTTCCGCGCTTCTCCTTCTGGGCCATTGGCATGAACTTCTACATGGAGGTACGTTCGGGCTTGAGGTATGAACTTGTACATGGAGGTAGGGACGTACTTGGGGGTAGGGATGTCTACATGGAGGTTGGGAGTTGTGCATGGGAGGTGGGGACTAGCACGTGGAGGCAAGCATTTACGCATGAAGGGACGAGCTGGCTCCGCGCTTCTCCTTCTTCTGGGCCATCGGCATGAACTTCTACATGGAGGTAGCACTTGGAGGTGCGGGCATGTCGTGGGGGTACAAACTGCCTCTGCTGTAGGTGGTTTTTTTCCCTTAATTCTCAATAACGACCTGCAACAACAATGTGTCTCCCGTGGCGCCGCCTCTCCTCCCGTTCGCCCGCTTCTCCTCCCCTGCGCCCATGTTGCAGATCGCCAAGATGCGGGCAGCACGGCGTGTGTGGGCCAAGCTAGTCAAGGTGAGTCGCATATCTGCTGCATCGCTTCCCTGCTCTTCCCTCACTGCTGCCCCAGTCTCTCCTTCCCTGCCTCTCTCCTTCCCTGCCTCTCTCCTTCCCTGCCTCTCTCTGTTTCACTGTCTTTCAATGCCTGTCGCTTCAGCCCCTTACTGCCCACCATTCATTCCCTCTCGCCCCCATCTCTCTGCCCACCCTGCCGGCCCCTCACGTGTGGCCCCTCTTTTGGCCTACAGGAGAAGTTCAATCCCAAGAATTCCAAGTCGCTCGTCCTCAGGACGCACAGCCAGGTGAGGGTTGTGCAATCACACATGCCTCTGCATTCCCTTGCACGCTCTTTATGAGGTGTTTACCCTCTCACCTCCCGCTCTTCACCCCTTCGCCCCTCTCTCACTTCTCCCCCTCCCCACCCACCCACTTCCCCCGTCCAGCCATCCCGCTACTCCCTGACGGAGCAGACCCATACAGCCTCATCTGAGACGCATCAAACACTCTCACCCATTCACACCTTCCCCGTTTTCCCGCCCCCCACCCTCCCCCTTCCCTCCTTCCCAGACGTCCGGCTACTCACTGACCGAGCAGGACCCATACAACAACGTGATCCGCACCACAGTGGAAGCCATGGCGGCCGTGCTGGGCGGCACCCAGTCCCTCCACACCAACGCCTTCGACGAGGCCCTCGCCCTCCCCTCCGAGATGAGCGCGCGCATCGCCCGCAACACCCAGCTGATTCTCCAGGAGGAAACGGGTATTACCCATGTGGCGGACCCGTGGGGCGGGTCGTTTATGATGGAGGCGTTGACTGCAGAGCTTGAGCGGAAGGCGCTGGAGATCATAGAGGAGGTGGAGGCGGCAGGCGGCATGACCAAGGCCATCATGTCTGGCATGCCCAAGCGGAAGATTGAAGAGTGCTCTGCTCGCAAGCAGGTGCGTGTGATGCTGGGTGGGAGGTGCGGGAGTGGTGGGGGGTCTGGTTTTGAGGGGTGGGAGTTGGGAGATGGAGGGGAGGGCAGGTGAGGATGGGGAGGGAAAGGCAGGGTGGGAGGCAAGGGAGGAAAGCCCCCTGGGGCGGGTCGTTTATGATGGAGGTGTTGACTGGCGAGCTGGAGCGGAAGGCGCTGGAGATCATTGAAGAAGTGGAGGCGGCTGGCGGCATGACCAAGGCCATCATGCCTGGCATGCCCAAACGCAAGATCGAAGAGTGCTCTGCTCGCAAACAGGTGTGTGGTTTGTGGGGGGAGGGGTTGGGTGGGAGGGAGGGGGTGGGGACTAACGAGGGACTCTCACAGACTTCCGAGTCATTTGAAGTGTCACCTTCTCTTGCCTCTCACACCTGTCCCTTTCTTCCCCCCCTTCACTCCCCCATCCTTTATGTCCCATTTTCCGCCTTCCCTATCAGGCGCGTGTGGTCAGTGGACTAGACGTGGTGGTGGGGGTGAACAAGTACCGCCTCAAGGAGGAGGAGAGCGTGGAGCTGAGCTCAGGCACACTTACAGACTGCTGAGTTGATTGGAACTTACCTTGTCTTTCCTCTCCTCTCTCCTTGTTCTCCATCCTCGCCTTCTTCCCCACATCAGGCGCGAGTGGACAGCGGGCTAGACGTGGTGGTGGGGGTGAACAAGTATCGCCTCAAGGAGGAGGAGGGAGTGGAGCTGAGGCACATTGACAACGCTGCTGTGCTCAAGAGCCAAGTCAAACGCCTGGGGGAGCTCAGGGCCTCCCGAGACAATGAAAAGTACAGCAAATCCCCCTCCCTCCAACCCTACCTCCCTCCTGCCTTTGTGCTTCTATCTTCCCTCTCTCTGCTTACCCCTCTCTCTCGCTCTCTATCTCCCTCCCATGGGTGATCTGGCCTTCAATCTCTCTCTCTCTCTCTCTCTCTCTCTCTCTCTCTCTCTCTCTCTCTCTCTCTCTCTCTCTCTCTCTCTCTCTCTCTCTCTCGCGCTCTTGCTCTCTCCGTCTGCACACTCCCACTGCCACTCCCCATCTCACCAACACACACATTTATGGCCCTCTTTCCTCTCTCCGTGTCTCCGTGCCATTCCCCATCCGCCACACGCACCCCCACGCCTGCACTCACCCTTTCCCTACCAGAGTGAAGGCAGCACTGGCAGCGCTAACAGCAGCGGCAAAGAGCACGGAGCGCGGCGAGGGATGCAACTTGCTGACCCTCGCAGTGGAGGCGGCGCGAGTGCGGTGCACACTGGGGGAGATCAGTGACGCGCTCGAGGCCGAGTGGGGCCGCCACGTTGCCGACTCCACCATCTCCACTGGCGCCTACAGGTGCGTGCTGCATTGCACTGTGCTTAGTTCTCATCACCCACACTGCGAGTGCGGTGCACAATGGGGGAGATCAGTGATGCTCTCGAGGCTGAGTGGGGCCGCCATGTGGCTGATTTCACCATCTCCACCGGCGCATACCGGTGCGTACCGCATGGGCTGTGACCTTGGTGAGCTTGCACCATTGCTGCCTGTGTTGCTCTCTGCTTGCTGCTCACACCTCTCCCTCGCCTCCACCCCACTCCTCCCCCACGCCTCTTGCCCAACTGGCTCACTTCGTCTCACACGCTTACTTCCTTCTGCTCCTACTCCCCACGGTCTACCCCTTCACAGGGGCGAGTACGGGCGTGCAACTGGCGGCCAGGAGACCGAGGAGCTAGCAGCAGTGAAGGCAGCAGTGGAGGCCTTCGAGAAGAGCACCGGGCGGCGCCCGCGTGTGCTCATCGCGAAGATGGGCCAAGACGGGCACGACCGCGGCGCCAAGGTGGTGGCCACGGGCCTGGCAGACCTGGGATTCGACATCGACATTGGCCCGCTCTTCCAGACCCCTGCAGAGGTCGCACGGCACGCCATGGAAGCTGACGTGCACGTGGTGGGTGTGAGCTCGCAGGCTGCTGGTCACAAGACGCTGGTGCCTCAGCTGCTGGACGAGTTGAAGGCGCAGGGGATGGAGCGCGTGCTGGTGATTGCGGGGGGAGTGATTCCCCCGGATGACTACCAGTTCCTGTTTGACAAGGGCGTGGGGGCGATCTTTGGCCCGGGGACCCGCATTCCCAAGTGCGCGCTGGAGATTCTCGAAAAGATCAAGCCGGAGGCTTAAAGTGCTGCTGTAGCTGTGTAATGGACTGATGCAGGGAGGGGATGAGTGGTGGTGGGCTTGTGATTTGGAGGTTGGGGGAAAAGGGGTGGGAGATGGAGCATTGTGAGTCTGACAACGCGAAGGTGTAGTGGGCAGGAACAGGAAGGGTGGAACCAGTATTATATTTCTAGACTGAATTCTTTTGCATGGCCTTGCTAGTTGTGTATCTCTCATGCTGCTTGCTTTCATCGCAATATGATAAAGAATATATTCCCTGTACCTATAAACCATCTCTTTGACACTGAATCTGCAATAGTGCACTCCACAGAAAAGATGCTCTGATATTTGGGTTGGAGAGACCCAGTAACGTTGTGTACACATCTCTACATGCTTCTATCATACACAGGCAGGAATGTGTGCAGTAACAATCTAATATAGGTATCCGGCAATGCATTCTCACCATGGACCAGCACTAGCAGACCACGCTACAGATTATGCATGAGTTACAAGCTAGAACACATACAGTGCAAGCTAGTGCACATACACATAGACCTTCTAGTGGAACCACATCGTCCCATTCAAAAAGTGATGGCGGAAAGCTCAAATGCCCCATCTGTAACAGAGATGTTTGGCGAGGTGGATGGGTGTTGCTGCTATTAATGAGGCACCTCAAAAAGTGCCCCATTTGTAACTGGGATGCTCAGAACAAAGGTGTGTTGGTTGATTGGTGCACAGGTGGTGGTGCTTGCTACTGCTGCAGGGCGATAGCTGCGACGTTGGAGGCGAGGGCATAGGTGCGAGAGGTGAGGCCTCTCGATCGCTCTATTAGGTTCTCGTACCTGCAGAGAAGGGGCAGGGAAGGGTGTGAGGATGGGAGAGAAGGGGGCGGGGAGGGGAAAGACGGGATACAAGGGAGAAAGGAATACAGAGGGCTGGCGAAAGAATGATGGGTGTGTTGCGACATGCACACACGTATGCCATGCCATGCCATGCCATGCCCATGCACACACGTATGCCATGCCATGCCATGCCCATGCACACACGTATGCCCACGCCCATTCCATGCAAATGCCGTGCCATGCCGTGCTCATGCCCATCCTCATGCCAATGCCATACCCATACACAATAATTTGCCCATGGTTTTTACATGGAGTCAGGTCACAAGTACGTGTGTGCACACATTCACATCCCCACACCCATGCCCAGCAACGTACACGTTGGGTTGAGCAGTGGCCATGACGAGCGTGCCGGCCTCCGAGTCGATGGTAGCATCCAGCTTGGCAGTGCGGATCAGATTCGCCATCCACCTCTCCGCTGCGTCCGTTGCCATGCTCAGCTTCTCCGCCACCACCCTGAACGGGGAGGAAGACACAAAGGTGGAGGGGGGTGCAGTGCGGTGCAGAGGGAGATGCAGAGGGTGAAGATCCACAGCTCAGCTGCATCCGTTGCCATGCTCTTCTTCTCTGCCACCACCCTGCGGTGAGGAGAGGTGGAGTGCAGTGAGGAGGGGTGTGGTGCAGTGGAGTAGGTTGCCATGAGGTGGGGTGAGGGCGCACACACGCATGGGCTAACTTGACGCTGCAGTGGTGCAGCAGTGCAGCGCTCACTTGATATCGATGCGGCGGTGGATGCTGCAGTAGTTCTCAAACATGAGCAGGCGCGCACTGTCAATCACCTCGTCCCTCAGAGGGCCTAACTTGAGGCACAGTGCGGTGTGTGCAGTGCGGTGCAGAGAGGTGACGGGCTCACTTGATGTCAATACGGCGGTGAATGCTGCAATAGTTTTCGAACATGAGCAGGCGAGCACTGTCAATCACCTCGTCCCTCAAAAGCACTCGCTTGAGGCGCAATATGGTGTGGTGTGGTGCAGTGAGGTGAGGCGAGGTGCAGTGCGGTGAGGAGCAGTGAGGGGCTCACTTGATGTCAATACGGCGGTGGATGCTGCAGTAGTTTTCGAACATGAGCAGGCGCGCACTGTCAATCACCTCGTCCCTCAGCGGCACCGCCACATACCCCCCCTCCGCCACCCGCTTCCCCAGAAAGAAATCATTCGACAGTAGCTGCCGAGCCAGGGGGGAGGAGAGGGAGGGAGGTGTGCGTATGAGGGAGGGGGGGGAAGGCGCGGGAAAGGGTGAGGGGAAGGAGTGCCACGTACCCGCCCTCCGCCATGCGCTTGCCCAGAAAGAAATCATTCGACAGTAGCTGGAAATGGGGGAGGAAGGGGAAGTAGGGGGGGGGGGGGGGGGAAGGGGGATGGGGAAAAGGGGAATGGGAAAATGGGGTGAAACAGGAGAGGGGGGGAGGGACAGCCCAGGTGTGTTTTGAGTCGACTCAAAACACACCTGGTGAAATTAACTGGAAAGAAGGCAATCTGGAAGGAAAAAAACAGGTGGCGTCTCAAAAGAACCGGTCCTCACCTCTTCGCACTCCTTGAGTCGGCTCTGAGCCTCATCAAAGTCCAAATCAACGACCAGCGCCAGCAGGAATTGCGTGAGCGGGTCGCTGTAGGCATACCTCTCCGCCTCCACCACCTTGACTACACTGCGCTACTCTCACCGCTTTGCACTCCTCCCTCACCTCTTCGCACTCCTTCAGCCGGCTCTGAGCCTCATCGAAATCAAGGTCCACGACCAGCGCGAGCAGGAATTGCGTGAGCGGGTCGCTGTACGCATGCCTCTCCGCCTCCACCACCCGCGCCACCTCCTTCACTGCGCTGCGCCTGCGCTTGCATGTGAGCACGGCCGCCACCAGATAGCGCAGCAGGTGCTGCGCGTTCGTCTGAATGGCGCTCAGATACCTGGCGAGAGGGGGAGCAGGGGGTAGGGGGGCGAGGTGCATAGGGGAAAAGGGGACGGGGCTTGCATGTGAGCACGGCTGCAACGAGGTAGCGCAGCAGGTGCTGCGCATTCGTCTGGATTGCGCTCAGATACCTGATAGGGGGGTGAGGAGGAGGGGGGGAGGGAGGGGGAAGGGGACAGAAAGGAGGGAGAGAATGGGGGAAGAATGAGGAGAGAGATGGTGAGGAACAGGAGCGGGCCTCAATCCACCCACCCCCACATCCTCCACCACTCGCGCCACCTCCTTCACTGCGCTGTGCCGGTGCGTGCATGTGAGCACAGCCGCCACCAGATAGCGCAGCAGGTGCTGCGCGTTCGTCTGGATGGCGCTTAGGTATCTGTTGGGGGGGGAAGCAAGCACTTTTTTGGAAGGGCTGGGAGAGGGGGGTAATGGGGGAAGCAGGCATTTTTTTGGATGGGTGGCGAGAGAGAGGCGAGTGGGCGAGAGGGAGGTGAGTGGGTGCATGGGCGCGAAAGGGCCAAAGGGAGCGAAGGGAAACTAGAGGACAGAAAGCCTGGAACCCGGAGGTAAGAGGGCCGGGGAACCGGGGGCCGGGACTCAAAAGGTTCGAAGCGAAGGAGTGAGCGAGCGGAGGCTCACTTGTCCTGCAGGCAGAGGAGTGAGCGGGGCAGAGCGCACTTACTTGTCCTGGAGAAAGAGGTCGACGAGGTTGGAGCGGCCGTTCTCCGAGTGCAGCATGGCGAAGAGCGCCCAGTGCAGCAGCCACGTGCGCTCCTGCAGCACCGCTAACGGGGACGCGAAGGTCTGTGAATGTGGTTTGATGAAATGCGAAAGTGGGGGGAGACGGGGGAAGTTCAAAGGGAGGATTGAGGGTGTGCTTGCGCAGCATGAGGACGAGCGCCCAGTGCAACAGCCGTGTGCAGGGGACGCGTGTGGGGAAGGCGGAATGGAAAAACGAGGGAGGGGTTGCTTCATGGGGGGCGGATGGTGCATGGTGCAGCATCAGGAAGAGGGCTCAACGCACGCGGAGAGGCACGGGGGGGCGGGGGTGGTTAGATATGTGGGGGAACGGAGGGTGCATGAAGCACAAGGCATGAAGCATGAGGCATGAAGCATGAAGCATGAGGCATGAAGCATGAGGCATGAGGCATGAAGCATGAGGCATGAAGCATGAGGCATGAGGCATGAAGCATGAGGCATGAAGCATGAAGCATGAGGCATGAAGCATGAGGCATCCCCCCTCTCCATTTTTTCCCACTCTACCCGTTACCCTTTTCCCTCCCAACCTCGCTTTCTACCCATTTCCTGTCTCCTTCCGTCCCCGCCATTTTCCCCCTCTTCCCCCCATCCTCCCCTCTTCCTACCCCCCTTGTTGCACCTGCGAGTCGATCATCTCATTCACGCGCGCGAGCTCCTCCCCCGCGGCGTCCCAGTTCTGCATCAGCAGCTCCGCCGCCAGCTTGCCCCACTCGACTACCCGCCCTCCCACCCACCCCCCTTCCCCCGTCCCTCCCTCTCTCCCCCCGCGCGTGCACCTGAGAATCAATCATCTCCTTCACCCGCGCGAGCTCCTCCCCCGCGGCGTCCCAGTTCTGCATCAGCAGCTCCGCCGCCAGCTTACCCCACTCGACTACCCGCCCTCCCACCCACCCCCCTTCCCCCGTCCCTCCCTCTCTCCCCCCGCGCGTGCACCTGAGAATCAATCATCTCCTTCACCCGCGCGAGCTCCTCCCCCGCGGCGTCCCAGTTCTGCATGAGCAGCTCCGCGGCCAGCTTGCCCCACGACGCGGAGAGCGCGCGCTGCGGGGACGAGCAGAGCAGGCGGTACTGGTAGAGGAAGTCCGCGGCGCCGCTGTAGTTGCCGCACTCGAACTGGAACTTGGCGTACCAATACAGCGCCTCCACGCCCTCCGCGCCGATCTGGGGGGAAGTGCGGGGGAGGGAGAGCGGGTTAGGTGGGCCGGGGGGTTGGCTGGGACGGCGGCGCCGCTGTAGCTGCCGCACTCGAACTGGAACTTGGCATACCAGCAGAGAGCCTCCACGCCCTCCGCGCCGATCTGCGCAGGGGGGAGAGGAAGGGGGAAGGAAGAGGGGGCGGAGGAGCGCGAGCGACAAGTGACGGACGCGCGGAAGCTTCGGAAGGAGGGAGGGGAGAGGCGCCGGGGGAGGGGAGACGGCGAGAAAAGGAGCTAGGGACGCGGAGAGAGAAGCAACGACGGCTGGTCGAGTTGTCCCAGCGTGGCGCTGTACGAGCCTCTGTTGGTCTCACCTGGTATTTCTCCTGAAGCATGAGCAGGTTGTACGCTTTATCGGAGCGCAGCTCCTGCACCGTCGCAGGGTTCTGCAGGAACGCGACAAGCGGCGCCGCCGCCTCCTCGAGCGTCTTGAGGCGGCTGACCACCTCGCCGCGCCGCTCCACCATGGCTGCTCGCGCCGCCGCGTTGGAGAGATGGAGGGAGCGAGGGAGGAAGGAAGAGGGGGGGTGCGGGGGAGAGGAAAGAAGGGATGGAGAGGGTGGAGGGGGACATAAGCGGGCTGACCACCTCGTCGCGCCGCTCCACCATGGCTGCTCGCGCCGCCGCGTTGTCAGCGCCACCAACACGTAAATCCCGACGCACGCGCGTCGATCAAGACGGCGGGAAATGGAGGGGAAAGTAAGGGGAGGAATGGGGAGCGGGAGGGAGGGCGGGCGGGAGCAAAAGGGCGGAGAGAATAAGAGCTTACGCGCAGCAGTAGCGCACGACGGAACGGCGCGGGAAGGGTTTAACGAGGGCTTTGCGTCCACCAGTGGACTCGCGCCTCGCCATGGCTAAACCAGACACCTTATTCGTCACGCGATGCCACGGGGAGAGCTACAACGACACGTGTAAGACCATAACGCCATGCAAGACCCTCGGGACTCGGCTGTTTCGTCAGCCCTCGTAACCTCCCCTCCCCGACACAACGTGCCGCGACCCCTCGATCATCTCGTTCCGCTTCGAGCAGCCCTCTGCGACCATCTGCCTACGGAATTCCCCGTTGCAAGGCGCCACGCACAGAGCAGGACCTGGTCGGAGTGGTGCGGAATTTATTCCCCGATATAAGCCGCGAAACGCCGGGCAGAAATTCCTCATTATAAAAACGCGCGAGTGACACTCACCGGGCGGAACCTCCTCGGAGTGGTGCAGCGACTTGTGGATGTCCATGGCGTAGTCCACCATGTTCGTGCGCCCCAGCAGCTCGATCTTAGCCGTCAAAATCTCCTCCTCGGGGTAGATCTGACGGTCCTGAAGGAACTCCAGCAGCGGGAACACCAAATGGCGATCCAGAAACGGAGCTATCTTCGATGTTAGGTCGGTGGACGCCATGGCTGGACGGAGAATTAGTAGGAAGAGAAATTAGGGTTAACGCGGGCTGGGAATATATATGATCCACGCGTTCGTGATAAGACGGTCCTGATTAGCCTTTAAAGGCTGGATCGGGAAGAGAAGCGTGCGAGAAGGGACGGGGAGTGCCGCAGCGTGCAATGCAACGCCGTAAGAGGCGGGAGAGTGGAGGGAGGAGTGAGAACGAGGTGGGAAGCTGGAATGAGCAGCGGAGATACTCACTGCAGAATGCACCAGTTGTGTCGATCATTGAGCGTGGATGGAAGGGTGAACAGATACAGTGTTTACGTAAACATTGCGCTTTTGTTCTAAAATATGTTTTTGGCTTCCTCGTCATCCCCGAAGTGGTTAAAATGGAAAAAAAATGATTACGCACAATTAGGTATACGTCTATATTGTTATATGTATATATATTCCAAATCATATATCATCGGCAGTGTGTTTCCGCGGTTTGTCAGTACCGTATCTATCGCAATGCCAGTAACGTTGATGGAGCTAACCAAACCCTTGGGTTTGGGTGCATGAACAATCAAAAGAACCCCTGATGGTTGAGGTGTATCTGTAAACAACGGGTCATAACATAGATTGGTAGGCAGGGTTACGCGGAGGGAATATAACGGGAAGGGTATAGTTGTAAATGGATGTGGTAAGGATGATCGGTTGAGAGAGTGACTTTATTCCATGGACCTACCGTAGTGGATTGTACTGACAGCATCTATGATCGTCCGGGGACAATGATAGAGGTTGTGAGTGGTAATGGATGTGATGGCCATAGGAGCAAGTGCCTGGCATAGTGTAACAAGCCACACCCCACCACACCAAGCACATGGCACACTCCATCCAAGTTCGGTGCGGTACCAAAGTTGATTCTTTAGGCTGGTTTTGAGCAGTCCCACACAAGGACACGGCCATGCGAGGACACCTGGATATGAGAACACGAAAGATGTACTTCATTTGTTTGTACTAGCCTATCAAGAGACTTTCATTGGTACAAAAAGGCAACATAAAGAGCAAAAGACATCCACGTATATAAGCTCTGAATGAAAGGCCTCACTGCCAAGACACAATGCTAACCTGAATAATATAGATACCAGGAGCAACCCGGCCTTTCTAACCCTCTGCGTTGCAGTAGTACATCTGAGGTTGATGGACGTATTTTCAACTTTCTAAGAGAAAAGAACACTGTAGCAGCCGGTGACGTGTGGCGAGACAGCTAGTAGAAGCGCGTGATGAGGTGGAAATCGTCATCCTTCAGCGCGCGCACTTCCTTCGCGCCAATGAAGTGCTCCAGCCCGATGTTGTTCACAATTTCCACGAACTCGCGTCGCCGCGCCTCGTTGTAGGGCGTGTACGGCAGGCGGAACACGGGCCGCACGAGGCCGAGCTGGCAGAGCGCCGTGCTGAGTCCGATGGGGTTGGGCTCGAGGAACAGCCACTTGGTGAGCGGCGCGAGTTTCGCGTTCAGCTCGGGGTGCGGACCCGTCGTCAGCATCTCGTGCACCAGCCCTGAGGGGGGGAGGCGGAAGAGGGGGGGGGAGGGGGGGAGAGATGCGGGCAGCATGAGGCGTTGCAGGAGAGATGAGGTACAGGTAGAAGGGGCAAGAAGGGGGATGGAGAGAGGCGGCGTGGGCATGCCGCGCGAGAGCGGAGTGGGGACGAGAGCGGCATTAAGGGCGGTGGGAAGAGGCATGGTGGTGTGAGAGACAGAGGGGGCGGGCTGGAACGGCACGCGCCAGGACATGGTTGCTGAGAATGGGGATGTGTTGCAACGACTTGGGACTCAGGATGACTATTGGCTTTGACTTGGAATCTTTGCCAATCTCGGGGCGGAACTTACCGGGGACGAGGTTGCTGAGAACGGAAATAACACCATTCGCGCCGTGCTTCCACTTGGCATCATGGCATTGGTCGTCGTTGCCGCTCCACACGACAATGCCCTTGCTGGTGTGCGTCGACACGCGGTCGTTCCCGACGCACTCCTTCACGCCCGCGAAGTTCTCGTGCTGGGCGAGCTCCTCGATCACGTCGGGCGTCAGGTCCGTCCCCGTGCGCCCCGGCACGTTGTAGATAATCGCGGGGCCCATCGGCAGCACCGCCCTGCGCTCGCGGAACGACAGTGAGCGGATAAGAGGGGAGAGGGAATATAATGAGACATTGGAGGAAGGTTACAAGGTGAAAAGGCAGGCGAGAGGCCGCGTTTCGTAACTGGAGACAAAATAAATGATGTGCCTTCTGAAGGCAGTGCGTTGGTTCTTTAACATCCTAGCTACCGCAGAGCAGGCGCGCCACACGAGTCGCACTCACTTGTAGTGTTGAATGATTCCGTCGACGCTGGTCTTGCCGTAGTACGGGTTAATCTGCAGAGCCGCGTGCATGCCCACCGCGAAGCCCTGCTCCGTCGCGTGCATCGCCTCGCCCGTGCTGTTACTGCCGGTATTCCCAATAACCTTGAGTTGATCGCCGAAGCAGTTCACCGTGTGCGCGATAAGCATCACGTGCTCATCCCAGCTCATGAGGTGCCCCTCGCCCGTCGTGCCGCCCACGATGATGGCCTCCGTGCCGTTCTCGATCTGGTGGTGCACCAGGTAGTCGTAAGCGTCGATGTCGAACCGCCCGTCCGGGAGATACGGCGTCTTGATCGCCGTCACTAGTGAGAGCGCCTTGATCTGCTCAATGTGCGGCCTGCGGTGCCGGGGGTGTAAATCCCGGGCAAAGGGAAACAGAGCGCGGCAAGGGACCGAGGAGTTGAGGGTGGGATTCGTTTCTCGTCACTGACGGCGGCAGGCAGACGCGAATGGAGCAACGTGGCCATTTCACAAAGCCGCGCGAGCACGAAATAACGCCAGCACGTGCGGAGAGACGGGGACAAGGAGTCGAAAGCAGAATGAAATGGAAAGCAAGGTAGGAAGGGGCGGAGAGAGAGAGAGGGAGGAACGTACAGGTTCTTCTCCTCGTGGCTCTTCATTGGGACCGGTGGCGCCTCCATCATGGCGGCGCGAGCTGCGCCGGCTCTTTGGCGCTTCGGAGCGGCTTTCACGGTGGTTGCGCCTTTCAGCGAATGCGCGGGGTCTGCTCGCAGCGTGGCGCACGCAGGGGCGAGGCGCAAGGAGGTGGTTGTAGCGGCCATTATGGCTATCAGTGATGCTGTGAATGCAGTACTTGGTTGGGAGGAGAACGAGCTAGCAAAGAGCAGTTTGAATCTAGAGTGTGACGTTGGGAAAATCTAAGAAGCTCGTGCTTTTTATTGTTTTCAATTCGTGATGAAAGAGAAAGAGTGTGGTTGGCATGGCTGTGAAGGGGAAAGGAAGAGCAAGGGAAGGAGGTGAGGGAGGGTAGGAGAAGCTCCTGTAGTCAGGAATGCGGAATCGTGGAAAGGAGGGAAGTCGACGGGGAATGGATGAGCGGCTCGGACTGCACAGTCAGATGCTACGTGGGATCGATTGATTTGAAGCCGTGACCCACATGGGCTGCTCTGAGACTATTCACAATTCACACCATTTACCCGCTCTGACCGTCGACGACTGCATATTCAGTAGTAATTCAGCTTTAGTTTCAGTTCCGCTGGTTATAAGGAAAATAACATCTTAGGACCTCCATTTTCTAGTAACTATTGCATTTGTACAGAAACTATGACAGATGAAGCGGCAGAATTAATGAACACACCCGTTGAGGAGACGCGTTTTGAAAACAAGACTTATGCCTTGCTGGTTCTCTCCAATCAGTAGCCGTCACCTGGCAGAAGAGCTGTGATGGTCAGCGTGTGAGGAAAATTGCCAGCTCGACAATCTCCAGGAAAGCTGCGCCTTCCAGCGAATTGCTTCACGAGTTTGCGGATGACTTGGTTGAAAGCGAACTAATGGGGGAGGGCTCAGAAAGTATCCAACAACGGCGCAGCCCAGCAGCGCTGCCACACGTGGGGATAGCCAGCACTTGGCTCCTTCAGCTGTCAGAGGGCGCGAACGAGTAATGGACTGCTTTCGCCCAAATCCAACTGACAGGTACATTGTAACATAATAACTATGTAAGCAGCTCTTGTTTGTTGAGGGATATCCTAATTGAACACTGTAGGTTAGATCCATATATTATGCATGCATGTGCAAGAAATTTGTGACTTGTGCCTCTTCGTGGGTTATCGTGGACTATTATGTAGACAAAACTTAGATGAATATTATGTTTTTTAATCAAGAAAAGGGGGGAGTTGTATCTCAATCATTTCCATTGTGACTTGTCAAATTGGGAGCTGCTAACAATTCTGTATAGGTTCAGACTTTTTCAAACTCCGTAACCGATTTTGAACAATTCGAGCCGTCGTTGAGTCGCCTTTTCGTAATCTACCCGTAACTGCTCTACGCGATGAGAACCTTCGATTTAGTTGCTTTGCGTTCCTGGCAACACCGCCGCAGCGAGTGTGCGTCGTGCGCTCCACCCTGTAGGGTATCTGCTCTCTGACGTGCGGCACTTGTTCAGCTGACCCTGTCCCGCGTGGCAGAGTTCAATGGGCTTATTTCCTTTTTCCTTGCCTAATTTCTGCACTGACCGCCTAAAGAGACAGTTTCTGCACTGACCGCCTGAGTGTGCCCCGCGCCATTGTTACCTTTATTGTGTTCCATTTCACGTGGTCAGCCTGGCTGCCGTACACTATAGCTTGTACATTGACCAGTTTGGATTCAGCCTGCTGCTGGGAGGTCCTTTTAGTTTGCTTCTACGCTAGGTAGGATTATCGTGACTGGAAGATTCCTCAGCTAAATACCAACTCATAAAACTCTCGAAACTATTGTCTTTCACCCGTGAACAACTCTCATTACGAACACCCCGCAACCATCCCCCACACTGAGTTGGATAATTGTCTTGTTCCTGAATCAACTGACCGCTGGGTGAAACCTCGAGTGAAATTTAGAGAAGCCTTGTTTTCCCCATCCAACCCACCAGCGCCTGAATCAACTTTGCTGCGCGCCGTGCCAACCTGGACAACCACCCACCACCACTCTTCCTCACTGCCGCAATCGCTTCTAGGGTTTCGCCGCAATGATCTAGAGCAGTTTTCACCAGAAGTACTGCCGAATTACCTAACTCACATCTGCCGGCCACTTGTCACCAGCTTTCGCGCACCGATTGTCGTAACTTTTAGGAGTGTTTGAAGCAACGCGGCGTCGAGAGCTATGGTGTAGCAATCTGTCCTTTCATGGCGTCAGAGGCGGATCGACTCCGTCTTGAACTGCGCGCGTCGCGGGTCGAGTGCGCGGAGCTGCGGAGCCGATTAGAGGTAGTTTGTCTCTTTCCGTTTCCGCTTGATCGGCTCCGTTAGATTCGCGATAGTGACAATTCGTCGTGTTGTCTGCCTTGCTATGCCAAGCGCTTCTCTCCTGTCTTCATTTCCCTCTTCTGCCGGCGCCGTTCGCTGCCTACTCTTCGCATTCGCGGCTTCACCCGTACCTTTATTTGTTTATCCCCGTTTCTTTTTCTGGCTCGCTCTCTTCGCTCGCTTTTGTGGACAAAAGGCGGGCCCCGCGGGGATAGAGCGCGCGCGGTATGGCGTGGGAGGGGAGCGGGAGGCGGAGCTGGCGCAGCGCGTGGAGGAGCTCACGCGGGAGTTGGAGGCGGAGCGACAAGAGGCGGAGCGCGCGAGGCGGTTCCACGAAGATGAGCTGACGATGCTGTTGGCGTCGAATAAAGACAAAGAAGCCGTCTGGACGAGAAAAGTACAGCCTCCTTCCTGCCCCAACCCCCCGCCTTCCTCCACGCCCGCACCGCTCCGTCCCTCCCTTTCCCCATTCTTCCCCCCGTCCCTTCCTCTCCCTCTCCCCCACCCCCCCCTCCCTCCCTCTCTTTTCCCCCATCTTCCCCTTTTTGCTTTTCTTTTCCTCGCCCCCCCCCTCCTCTCCTCCGTAGCTCTCCTTTCTTGGCACTCTCACCATTGCCTCACGCTCATTCTCTCTCTCCCTCTGCTCATCCCCGCGCTCTCTTCCCCCTTCCAACCCGTCGTGCGCGGTGTGCGCGGCGCGCGCGGCGGCGGAGCAGGAGATGGAGTTGGAGCAGGAGTTGCGCGAGTTGAGAGATCAGCTGGGCGACGCGCGGCGGGGCCACGCACTCGGGGGGCAGCTGCAGGCGCTCGAAGACCGCCTGGCAGACGCGCGCGAGGGTGAGGCGCGGGGAGGGGGGAGAAGTGGGGGGGGAGGGGGGGGCGCTGGGGAGTGTAAGGGGTGCGGGAGAGGGTGAGGGACAGCGGGGGAGAGGGGGAGGTGGAGGAGGGGGGAGGAGGAGAGGGGGCCAGCAGGCCGCATATCCCAATAGCAGCTAATTCTTCCCTCCTTTATGCCCCTCATTCTCACTCTCGCTTCCTCACGCCTCCACTCTCACACCCCCGCGATCACCTGTGCGGCATTCGCTTCATTCTACTCTCTACCGCCGCTCTTCCCTGTACCTCGCTCCGCCCATCCGCGCACCGCCGCCTGGGGCCCCGGGGACCGCACCTCGCGTTCCCCTCCCCGCGCCCCCTCCTGCGCCCTCTCTCCCCTGTTCCGCGAACCATCTCGTTCGCTGTCCCCCTCTCCCTCCCCCCATCCCGCGCAGCGCTCTCCCTGGCGGAAGCCTTCGCGGAGGAGCAGCGCGTGGTGCGGGAGGAGGCGGACGCGCGCGTGCGCGCGCAGGAGGCGGAGGTGGAGATGCTGCAGGCGCGCATAGAGGACATGGCGGAGCAGGCGGAGGAGGACGAGGAGGAAATGGCGGCGCTCGAAGAGGACCTTGCGCGCGCCATCAAGCGCGTCGAGGAGCTGGGGCTGCGCTCCGCCGCCATGACAATAGAGGTGCGCGAATGGGGGTTGCGCGGGCAGGGGTGTGCACGGGTGTGGGGGGGGGTGGGCAGTTGGGGGGGGGTGCGAGCATGCATGGCGCCATCAAGCGCGTCGAGGAGCTCGGGCTGCGTTCCGCCGCCATGACAATTGAGGTGCGGCAGACAGGGGGGGTGTCCGCGGGTGGGCAGGTACGGGGGAAGTGGGGGGGGTGCGAGCGTGCATGCATGGCGCCATCAAGCGCGTCGAGGAGCTCGGGCGGCGCTCCGCCGCCATGATCATCAAGGTGCGCGGATGGGGGATGCGCGTGTGGGGGGGCTGCGCGGGTGGGGGTTGCGTGGTTGTGGGGTGCGTGGATGGGGGGGTGCGGGAATTCCATTCTGTGGTGCACTTATCACAGCCGCACCCATTCTGCCCCCACTCCTCTCCGCGTATCCTCACACCTCCTTCCCCGCAACCCCCCTCGCGCGTTCCCCCCACAGATGGAGCAGGTGCAGGAGGAGTTGCGGCGGGAGCGCGAGCTGTTGCGCAGCACGGAGACGGTGGCGGAGGCGGAGTGGCTGAGGCGCGTGGCGGCGGAGCGCGCGAACGCCGCCCTGCAGCGCGACGTGGAGCGCGCGCAGCTCGACGCGGACGAGCTCTGGAGCGCGCTCGAGGCGTTCCGCGCGGAGGGCGCGGGCGTGGCGGAGCAGCTGCGTGAACAGATGGAGGCTGCGGTGCGCGAGGCGGCGGAGCGCGAGCGCGCGCACCACGCGGCCATGGCGCGGGTGGACGAGGAGGTGGAGCGGCTGGCGGAAGAGGCGGAGGCGGCGGCGGAACGCGAGGAGCTGGCGGCGCAGCTGATCGACCGCCTGAAGGACCACAACGCGCTGCTTGCGCGCCAGCTCGCCGCCATGGCCAAGCGCGCGGGCGCGGGCGCGGGGGGAGCCGCGCACGCAGTGGGGGAGAGCGGGACGGAGGCGGAGGAGGATAACTTCGCGTTTGAGGCGAGCGGGAAGGCAGCGCGGGGGGGGCAAGGGGTGGAAGGGAGCGGGGAGGGGGAGAGGGAGGGGGAGAGTTTGGGGGAGAGTGGGGACGCGGAAAGTGTTAGCCAGTCATATGAGGAGGGGGAGGCGTCTCCCCTTCTCCAGGCGCAGACGCGCAGGCAGGGCGGGGGACTGAATAATTTTGAAACGGGCAGCATGGCGGGCAGCAGTGTAACGGGTAGTAGCGTCCTGGGCAGCACTATAGGCGGGCAGCGGACAGGTTGGCAGGGCCCTGGGGAAGGCGCGGGGAAAATGGGCGCAGATTACCGGGTAGCAGGGGGGAACGAGCGCATGGGTGGCGCGTATGGGCTGGCAGGGGGGGGGATTGAGGGGGAGAGCCCTAGCGGGTTAGCAGGCACGTCCCCCACACTCACGTTCACTCCCCCCCCGCAGCACTCCCCCCTGCACCACCAGTACACATACCAGCAACAACCGTCGCGCATGGCAGGGGGAAACGAGGAAGACGAGGAGGATGAGGAGGACGAGCTGGGGGAGGAGGGCGCGGAGGAAGAGGAAGAGGAGGGGTTGGCGACCGACTCGGAGTTTTCCTTCTCAGTGCCCGTCCCTCGCAGCGGCGCGTGGCGGGCGGCTAAGGAAATCGCTTCCCTCTACTACACAGCGGGAGGTGCAGGAGACGAGGATCTGGAGAGAGAAGAGGAGGAGGCGGAGTTCGCTTTGTTGCAGGAGGAGAATGAGCGGTTGGCAGAGGAGGTAGCGCGGCTGCAGGAGCAGGTGGGGAAGTCGCGGAAGCTCGTGGGGAATTACGAGAAGATGCGGAGACGGATCATGCAGCTGAGAGTGTGCCTGGAGCTGACTAGAAAGGTGGTGGAGGTGAAGGATAGGGCCATGGAGATGGCTATGGATAGGGCTAGGAGGGCTGAGACGAGGCTGAGAGAGATGGAGGCTCAGCTGATGGAGCATCGCCAGGCTGCTGCTGCCTCTGCTGCTGCCGCTGCCGCCGCTGCTGCGACTGCCACTGTTGCTGCTGGTGCTGCTGCTGGTGCTGCTGAGACGTCCTCTGCTGGTGGAGGGAAGGGAGGTGCTGCTGAGATTTCTTCTTCGGGCGCTGGTGGTGCAAGCACTAGTGAAGCCGTTGGGAGTAGAACGCAGGGTGGTGTGGGGAGAGGCGAGGAGGAGGGGCAGAGTGACGAGGAGGAGTTGAAGGAGGAAGGCGACGAGATTGCAGAGATGGCGGGGAGGAAGCAGCGGGGGAGCACGAAGCGGAGAGGGAGAGGGGAGAGAGGGGATAGAGGCGAGTCGTGTGCATCCTCCACCACCGATCGCTCCGACAGCCATCTGCTTCTCTCAGGCGCCACTCCTATAGCTAGCAGCGGAGCCCTGCAGGCGAATCGGGCAGCAGTCGGACTCAAAGAACTCCAGGCGAACCGGGACGCGCTGCGAATCGCCATGCGGGTGGTGAGAGAGCGAGCAGCTCTGGCTGCAGAGGCGCAGCAGAGGGCAGCGGGGAGCCAGGGGCGGAGAGGGAAGGCGGGGAGGAAGGCGGAGGCGGGGGCTGTGGGGGAGATGCTTGCAGAGGTAGAGGAGGAGGTGGTTGAGGGGCAGAGTCTGGTGGAGCGGGCTGAGAGGATTGTTGCGAGAATGGCTGCGTTGGAGAGTAAGGGGGCGGGGGTGGGGAAGAAGATGGAGGGGAAGAGGAAGAGACTGGCTGAGCTGGAGGCGAGGCTGGGGTTGGCTCCTAGAAGAGGTGCGGGAGGGGGTTTGTCTTGCCTGCTGCCATTCCACCGAGGCAGCTGATGACGCACTGTTGCTGCTGCTGCTGCTGCTGCTGCTGCTGCTGCTGCTGCTGCTGCTGCTGCTGCTGCTGCTGCTGCTGCTGCTGCTGCTGCTGCTGCTGCTGCTGCTGCTGCTGCTGCTGCTGCTGCTGCTGCTGCTGCTGCTGCTGCTGCTGCTGCTGCTGCTGCTGCTGCTGCTGCTGCTGCTGCTGCTGCTGCTGCTGCTATTGCTGCTGCTGCTGCCACCTCGCTGCTGCTGCTGCTGCTGCTGCCACCTCGCTGCTGCTGCTCTGCTGCCACCTCGCTGCTGCTGCTGCTGCTTAGTTCTAACACTAACCCAAGTCTCTCCCCATACAACTAACCCCCTCTGGCTGTCTGCACATGGGTACCTATCGTTCCCATGGTGCCCCGTGCAACTAATTAGTTTGAGCTGTGCTCGCATGGGTTTATCCTACGGTGGTTTTGCGCAAAGAGATGGCGCTAATAAAGTCACACCGATGGTCCAGCAGTCGTTGCCTACGACGGAGGAACCGGGGCAAAGCTCCGTGTATGTATCTATTCGCCTGTTCACCCTCTTTTTGTTCATGGTATGGAGGGATCAGTGGGCTGTATTTATTACAATTTATTTGGCATGGCCTGATATGAGTCCTTGCCAGAAGGATTTCTTCTGCCGTCCATAGTTCTGGCTCCTAGAAATCCTGTGCTCTTTTATACGGCAGTTTGAAAACAAGATTGTAACACGTACACAAGCACGAATAGTACAATGAAGGTGTACTTGAACCAACCTCACTCGAAGCATCAAATACCGGGTACGTGTACGTAGTTTCTGAAGCCAGGTGATCGCACGCTCCCTCCCATTCCACGTTCTTCCACTCAGCTTCTCGCGATACCTCTTTCACCTAATCCTTGTTAGGATCGCGCTTATGGCTGCCACAAGACGTTGCGCGCGCCTGCTCGCGTCGTTCCTCCCCGCGCCTTCTCACGCGACATGCCTGCCGCACCGTGCCGCAAATCTAGCTTCCGTCAGGCCTGCATGTTTAACGGCCGTCGCGTCGCTGTCGGAGAGAGCAACGGTTGAGTCGCCGCCGTGCGCGCCGGCGCTTCTTGGCGCCCCCACCGCACGGACTTCCCGCCATCTCGCGCTCCCCCCTTCCGGCTTGACCCCCGCAGCGTCGCGATTCCGCGTCGAGTCTTTTGCAGTCGCGGATCTGCTTTGCGCAATCCAAGCGCCTGCGACCGCCTTCTCTTCCGCCAGTCAGCGCATCGACTCCGCTCCGCCGCAGCATCTGCCGGCTGACCCCGCTAGCGCCACCCCAGCGGAGGGATCGGACGGCGCACGCAGCGCTCCGCCTGCCGCGTGCGAAAGCGGCGACGAGGAGGACGACCCGATTTTAGCGCGGCGCGAGGCGGATCGCGCGCCGGACAGGGCGCGGAACGCACCCGACGGGGAGCCGATACGATCAGACGCAGATGGCGGCGGGGAAGCGGCGAACGCTGTGGATGGCGGGCGTAAGCAGCGTCCTCCGCCCGAGTCTGTGGGGGAATATGGAGGGCCGAGCGGTCCCGAGCCGACGAGATACGGGGACTGGGAGAAGGGTGGCAGATGCATCGACTTCTAGACGCCTGGCTGGACTCGCCTCGGGGAAATTTCCAATCTGAATCTGAAAAGCTTTTGGCCTGGTAACCTCCTCTAAATTTAGTGGTGACCTTTGGCCTGTTTCCATGTTTCCTTCACGCGTAGAAGCTTTTGCTTGCATGCATGGCCACAAGGTGTGGGCATGACAACCCAAGCTGCTAAGGGAGCAGCAGCTGAAATTGGCTAGAACCCGTCTTGGGAAACCCTTAGCTAATAGGGGAGGGAAGCTTGCCAGAAAGCACATTGTGGGAGTGGTGAATACGCTCAAGTCAAACTTTGCATGGCTATGCTATGCAGTATGACCAATCAACCATGCATGACTGGACCAATCAATGATGCATCTGCATCTCCCCCTACTCCTATATCCTCTTGTATTTCACCTCCCCCGTATCTCATGCCCTCCCTTGCCTCTTGCCTCCTGCCTTCTGTCTCCTGTTTGCCCCGTCTTTGGCTGTCTCATGTTTCACCCAACCTCGTCTTCGGTCACCTTTTATCCCCTAATACGGTACGACACAAAAATTCGGCAATCTTGCTTGACTATATTAAAAGACCTCTACAAAAATTCATTTATTTCAACTAAATCATTGTGATGACCCTTGAAACATGATGTTGTAGTTATAGAGGATCTCTAGGAATGCTTCTAGAACATAGAAGAAAATGTAAGCAGAATTGTGTAACTAGAACACTTATACACGAACTTACTCCTGGTCTCTTGACCACTATCGTCACATTCCCTCCATTCTTCACTCAACTTTCTTGGTACGCGTCAGGAAGCTAAAAAGGCTGGCGGCGACGCGGCTGCATGTAGGTCACCCACATGCAGGCCTGCTAGTTAGAGTATCCATCGTAATAGAAATTCGTCCGAAGTATGATCACCGACCATTCTGATCGTCCGTTTGCTGTGATTTCTGTCGACGCGAGGGGAACATGCAGCTAGAGTCGGCATCCCTGAAAATGGGTCTGAGCCAGCAACAGTGACGATATATTGAGTAAAGGGATCCATGCGTCGCGTCAAGCCGTCTCATTCCGCTCCTCGAAAGCAATTTCTGTGCTTTTGGTGAAGTCACCAGGAGCGATGGAGTTGCTTCAGAGGTTCCTGGTACGCCTTTTCCTTTCGCGACGATGGTAGTCAAAATAGTTCCTTGTTATTGTTTTGTCCCCTTTTAATTTCCAGCGTTCAGCGATCGTCTGTTTTCATCCATGTATTAAACGTTCGTCGTCATTGCATAACTGCATCGTTGGTGCCACGAAGGGGTCAAATTGTTGTTTTGTGGCACGAACGAGGTTCAGTGACGTCAGATACCTGAGAATTTCAGCTTGACATTTCAGCCAACAAATACTGTATGTCCTGATCAGGCACATGCATTTTCATCCCCAGAAATGCCGTTTTTCACCAGCCATCCTTCCAATGTTTATCCTTCCACACCAACCTCTTATCGTCCGCCACGTGGCAGGGACGTGAGCGGCACCTGGACCACCTTTTAATGCATGGTCGCTTCGCAGAAGCTGCAGCGCTGTGCCCCTCGGCCCTTGGGAACTCCGAAACTGCATGGCAATGGTGAGAGACACAGCAGGGAAGGCGATGGTGGAAGGTCCCTCGGCTGTGACCAGTACGGGAATATCATTTTAATGTGAATATCCCAGTAGGCTAGAACCGGTTACTGTACCATAGATACTAATCATAGTCACCCATGCCGCCGGCTATTGTTTGCTGTCCGTCTGTCCCCTCATCTGGCGATTGTGATGCCTTGTTCGTCCCTTCCACCAGGTGGATTGGCAACTTCTCTCGGCTGCAGCAGCTGCATACTCTGCTGCCCTATGTTCCTATTTCCAACCCTAAGCTCAGTCCAGCCACTTACGAGGTACCACGCTGTCTCACATAGTGATTTCCCTCAGCATTATGCCCTGACGTGTGAATCGGGCTAAAAAAAATCCCTCATCATTATGCCCGTAAACATCTTCATGATGAGATGGTGCAGGCTAGATCACGCAACCTTTCCTTTTCTCCCTCCCTCCCCCTCTCCCTGTTCCCTCTCCCCGCCCTCCCGTTTTCCAGGGCGTACTAGTGGAGCTGCTTGTCTCCCCGCACTCCTCGTACCACCGCCAGCTGCCGCCCACATTAGCCCGCTGGCCGCCCGCCCTCTACAACCTGGGGGTTGTCATCACTTCTGCGGAAAAGCGCCTGCTGCAGCAGGGCAGCGCCATACAGCTGCAGGTGGGTGGGTGGATGGGTGGGCGGGGTGCACTCGCTCTATCACCTGTTGATCCTGTGTGTGCGCGTACAAAGACTTCAGTCTTGTTTTGAGTCGACTCAAAAAAAGGCTCATCACCGGTTAATCCTGTGTGTGTGCGCAACGAAGACTTCATTGGTGCTCTAGACGTGGTCACACCACCATTATCCCTTGACTGCCTCTCCTTGCACTCCTCCCCGTTCTCCTTCCTCATCCTTCCTTTCCCATCCCCCTATCACAGCTCCTGGCGGGTCTCTATGTGCGCAACAGAGACTTCATCGAGGCTCTGGACGTCTATTTGCGGATTCTGGTGGCACAGCACAGGGCAAACCACACTGATTCTAGCGCTGCTACTCAGCTAACGGATTTCGATGGACACATGGATGAACATGCTCAGGCGCCTGCTGCTGCTGCTGATGTGGATGGGGGTTTCCAAGGGCGTGTGACAAGCCATGCTGACGTGGATGGAGAACAGTTGCATTCACCAGCGAAATCACCTGTTAATGGCAAGATAGCAGGCAAAGGCGCGGCAGGCAGAGAGACAGCTCACAAAGAAAGCATCAATAGAAAGGCTGCCGGTCCATCCTCAGAAGACCACCGCCGATACCCAGCGCAAGAATGCAGTGCCGCATTCCCTAACGAGTCATTACCAAGTTCAAAATGGGCAGGGCCGGATTTGTTTGAGTTTATTCGCGAGCACAGGCTCGTGCGCCACCTCCTCTCTGCCGCCCCCCACCACCACCACCGCCTTCCCTCCCTCTTCCTCATCCACCCGCGCCGCGCCGCCGCCCTTCTCGCTGACCACATCGCCGTCGCGCCGCCCGAAATGGTTGTCCGCCAGCTGCTGGGCGTCGATTCGCCGGCCATGCTTGGGCCGCCCGAGCCGGCCGCTGCACGCCAGCTGTCTCCGCGTGATTCGGCGGCGCTGGCGGATGGAGCAGTAAATGCGGCTGGTGATGGGGAAGGGAGTGAAGTGGTGCTGACGGGAAGAGAGAGGCGCATGGCACTTCATTGCTACCTGCATGAAGTGTTTGAGCGAATGCCAGAGGTGGCATCAGCGTTTCATCCCATGCAGGTCTGTGCGGAGGCAACTGCTTCTATAGGAAGCTCGTTTTCATTCATTCTCACTGCTGCTGGCATGAGGTGCTTCAGTGGTAGAGGCTTCCTCTCTGAAAAGCTCTGTATGTGTGTGTGTGTGTGTGTGTGTGTGTGTGTGTGTGTGTGTGTGTGTGTGTGTGTGTGTGTGTGTGTGTGTGTGTGTGTGTGTGCATGTGTGTGTGGGTGTGTGTGTGTGTGTGCGTGCGTGTGTGTGTGTGTGCGCGTGTGTGTGTGTATGTGTGTGTGTGTGTGCGCGTGTGCGTGTGTGTGTGTGCGCGTGTGTGCGTGTGTGCGTGTGTATGTGTGTGTGTGTGTGTGTGTGTGTGTGTGTGTGTTTTCCAAGTATCGCGTGCCTTGTTTGCTAAGTTGCTACCCCTTCATGCTCTTTCCATCCGCCTGCAGGTTGAGTTGTATGCAGACTTCGACCGCCGCCTGCTGCTGCCCTTCCTGCAGTCATCCGACCACTACCCTTTACAAGACGTGCGTGACACAAAGCATGCGAACGCTTTCTCTTTGAGACATGAGTGGCACAGAGCACCATCCTTTGCACGATGGGTGTTTCGCCTCATTCTGACCTCCTGGCTGCTTGGTTGCTACCGTTCCCCCAGCCACTCTCTTTTAGTCCTGGCCTGAATGGGGCTTGTGGTGCGTCTGCTCACTCCCATATCAGCAAATCCAGATCCAGCTCCTCCCTGTCCCCTCCCCCAGGCTCTGAACCTGTGTGTGCAAAGGGGCCTGGTGGAAGAGCAGGTGTTTCTGCTCACCCGCATGGGGGATTACAAAGAAGCGCTATCGCTCCTGCTGGATCGACTCAAGGACGTGAACCGGGTGAGCTGCTCCTGCCTTCCTCCCATCGCTTTCTTATCTCCGCTTGCCAGCACCCTTGTTTCTGCTCACCTGCATGAATGATTACAAAGAAGCGCTATTGCTCCTGCTAGACCGACTCAAGGACGTTAACCAAGGGTGCGTTGCTCCTGCCTTCCTCTCCTCTCCGCACTCACATGGAGCAATTTTTCTCCTGCTAGGCTGATCATGCTACTTGATTGAAGATATCTTCACCAGTTTCTCCCTAATCCATGCCCCCCTTGTCGCGTCCATCAGGCAATAATACTGGCCCGCGAGGTGAAAGAACAGTATGTGTGGAATTTCCTCCTGAAACGATCTGCCACAAACCCCCGCTTGGTATGGCCTACACGTCTCCCAGTGGCTGTTCAAAATTGCAGAACCTCCCAATCAATCAAGGCCATACGTAGCCCTGCCCAGAGATTCACTGTCGGTCGATTTCGCTCCTTAGTGCTACACGTTTGTTTCCTCCAGTTTTTTGCCTCTCCGACTCCGTCTGTGCTGCACTCAGTGCTGTTCCAGATCAACTTACCATTAGCACCACCACACCAACCAATCAGTAACATCTTCCAGTTCGTCTGTCCGCCACCTCTTCATCTGTCCCACTCAACTCAATTCCTCCCGTTACTTTACCGGTTCCTTCTTCTTGCTTCAAACAGGCCTGGTTCAATTGCACCCTTGATCCAAGTTCTAATCCGTGCTGCTTTCCTCTCCCAGGTGGCAGCGCTGATGGAGCAAGCCTCAGACATTTTCACACCAAAGCAGCTGCTCGCTGGAGTCGCGCCAAGCACCTACCTAAAAGAGTATGTTCGGCACTTTAAATTTCTGGCAGTCAGCTTAGATATAGCTTCTGCTGGCAGTGAGGGCAGTGCTGGCAGTGCTAGCAGCCTTAGCAACAAAGGCATTCCTAGGAGCAACAGAGCAACAGGCAGGACTGCGTCGCCTTCAGCCAGTCCGTCTACGTTATCACACACGCTGTGTGTCAACTAATCCGCCTATTTATCTGTTCCTATTATCCTCCCCCCCATGTACTTTGCAGCTTGCGGCAGCATCTGCTGGCAGTGCTGGCAGCGTCAGCAACAGAGGTGTCCCTTCGTCAGGGCTGTATTGCCCTCTTGCAATCCGAGTGCATCGACCTCCTCTGCCTCTTCATCCTCCAATCGCAGTTCGCCGCCCGCTTCTCCTCCTCCTCCTCCTCCGCTGCACCACCCCACCTCCCCCTTCTCCCCCTGCCATCTCCCACTAAGACGGCAGCAACCAGCACTCTACTCTCTCCATATGCTTCCCCTCAGGCCACCTCTGGGTTCTTTCCTGGTGGAGCTGCTGGGACTTCACTACTCAGTCTGTACTCCCGCAAGCCTTTTCGAAGGAAGGCATTTATGGGAACATCTGCTGGCAAGGGTAACGAGGGTGATGAGAATGATCTGGTGGGGAGGGCAGGACAGGAGGAGGTCCAGCAGGCGACTGGGGAGAGGGAGGAGAGGGAGAGGAGGAGGAAGGAGAAAGAGGAGGCGAGAGCTGTGGCTTTGGCGTTTCGACAGCTGGAGATGGGGGAAGTTGGTGAGTATGGAGGGATGGAAGGAAGAGGAGGAGTGGAGGGGAGAGATGGGAGAAGAGGAGGAGGTGGTGGGAGATCGAATGGATTGCCAGGAGCTGTTGGTTCTGACAGTTTTCTTCCCTCCATATCTCAATCAGAGGAAGAGGAAGAGGATGAGGATGAGGAGGGAGAGAGTGATGGGGAGGAAGAGGAGGATGAGGTTATGTGGAGTGAGCAGTGGTCGTCTGCCCCACTCTTCCCTGCATCTGGAGGGCTGAAAATAGCTACCATTGCTGTTGAGGCTGGTGAAGGTTACAGGGGTGATAGCAGAACAGGTGGTAGCCAGGTTGATGGGGGGAAAGGGGGGATGGGGGAGAGAGGTAGAGGAGGACTGCTTAGAGCCTGGAGCGAGGTGTTTGAGGGAGAGAGAGGGGGGATTGTGGGGAGCAAGGACGGGCTGAGACGAGCAGGAAGTGAAGTGCCAAGAGGGAAAGAGGAAGGCATGGGTGAGTTTGATGCGCGGAGAGGGGGGGTAGGGAGGTTGGAGGGGAGGCAAGAGGTACAGGGTAACAAGTTGAAGAGGAGGGGGGTTGAGAAACAGAAGCTGCTGGGTGGGGGTCCTCCCCGGTGCTGCCTGTGTCTAGATGCACTGCATCTGCACCAGCAGGAAATTGCGTGTTTTTTCTGCACACATGCATACCATGTGCCATGTTTGGAGGTAGCATTGAAGTTGGGAGGAAGGGGGAGTGGTGGTGAAACAGGAGGGGCTAAGATGGAAGGGAATAATGCACAACTGACTGAGAAGCCTATGGACAGCACTGAGAAGGCTGGAACCAGAGGTTCAAATACAGGTTCGGCAGCAGAACTGAATAGTGGCCCTGGGAGCAGCTTCTTGGATCGAAGGCTGGATAAGCCCAAGGTTTGGCCCGAGCGAGAGGAATCGACGGTAGAGGGAGGGGATGGTGACGAACAATTGCATTGTGTAGTGTGCCAAAAAGCCAGGAACATGGCAATGCCTTAAATGCTTCAGCTAGTGTCAAGCCATATGTCTGTTTATTTTAATTTGATTATTATTGGTGGTTCCTACAATCGTTACATTGGAGGATGCAATATTCGGCTTGTAATTGGTCCGCCCACGTCACTTTTATGCCTCGCGTTCGCAAATAGCCAAGCGAAAGTCGCTATGCGTCACAACTCTCTCTCCTTTCGCCAAGCCTCTGAGGAGTGAACCGTCTTCCTGCTGGCGTGGCGGTTTCGTTCAATTTGCTGAGCGAAGAGTTCTGTTGTTCACCTGAAACCATTTCCGTGGCTTGGGAGGCGGTGTCATTTGCTTGGCTCTGCTTCGCCGCGACCGCTCAGAACCGAGGAATGTATTTGTCTACCAAATCTCCGAGCTTTACAGCAGCAAACCAACTTTTCACCAGCAACCTTTCCTCCCTGGTTTCATCAGGTCTGACCTAGATTTCATCCTGATTCAAGCTACTTGATCACTGGCTGCTGCTGAAACGGCTCGTTGCTGGTGCTCAACGAACTGATAGGAGAGTTCTGCTCGCAATGCCGTTTGGTGAATTGTGTATAGGCCTCTAGAGGCTTCGAGCTTGTCATCGTGTCGAAATTCAGGTTCAAGCTTAGAAGGAAGCTTTGGCTACTGTGGTGTAGGCTCCGGCGTTTGTTAAGCGTAGCCATGTTTCCAGACACACCGATGGACCTTTTCAGGTCCGAGGAGATGCAGTTAGTGCAGCTAATCATTCCTGTCGAAGCTGCACATAACACCGTCGCTCATCTTGGGGAACTCGGTCTACTGCAGTTCAAGGATGTAGGTATCTGCATAACTATTGAATCGAAGCCGTTGCTCGATTGATGGGGTTCCGTTTCCAATATTCATGGAATTCGACTGTAACATTCGACCTTAATCCTCTCCAAAATTGCCATTATGCAGTTAAATCCGGACAAAAGCCCATTTCAGCGAACCTATGCTAATCAGGTAGAGTAATCTAAACGCTTCTCGATTGCAGTATCTCCCGCCATGGTTCTTGTGAAACTCCTTTGGACCGCGGATTACGCTTCACGTTGTGAACGAGATCAACCATGTAGTACTCTTACCGTCTCTTTATGCGTCAATGACGGCGTACAGGTTAAGCGATGCGGGGAAATGGCACGAAAGCTTCGTTATTTCAAGGATCAGTCCGTGAAGGCTGGAATTCTACCAAGTAGTCCAGCACCATTGGACAAGGATTTTGACCTAGACGACCTGGAGGTATTATTACCTAAACTGCATATGGGCGTATGACTGCGCAATTATGACACGTCGATGCAAGAAATTACTGACAATCTAGGATCGCGGGATTGGCGATCCATTCCCTCTGTTAGCTTCATATTTTGTGATGGCCTTCTATACAGGTCAAATTGGCGGAGCTGGAAGCGGAGTTACTGGAGATCAATGCTAACGCTGAGAAGCTTCTACGAAGCCGGAATGAGCTGAATGAATTGCAGCTCGTCCTAGAAAAGGTTAGTAGTTTCGTTTTCACCTGGAACTGATCACGCTGGTGTATGTTTTTTTTGCACTGACCTTGAGTTTGCCAAGCCTTGCCATGCTAACCTTTCTCCTTGTTTGGAACAGATGGATGCTGCTGTTCACCAGAGGGAGTTTGAAGAAGCAAGCTCCGGCCGGGAAATAACCTCTGACACTGCGTTGCTATTGGAGCAGGTGGTACATGAAACTGGTTACACGAATTCACTTGAGCAGTCCCTTCCACAGGTACCCTATTTCATTCTCGCAGAAGCTCTGATATGCAAGTATGCATGACTTTGATTTTCCTTACAGGAGATGGTCTCAGAACCTGGCAAGCAGATGCGTCTTGGATTCGTTACAGGGCTTGTCCCAAAGGTCAAGGCTGCAACATTTGAGAGAATTCTGTTTCGAGCAACTCGTGGGAACATGTACCTTAAGCAGGAGGAGCTTGACGAGCCAGTAGTGGATCCTGCAACAGGAGAAGAGGTATGCGTTTCTTCCGTATGCTGAGATCAGTCTTTCAGGTACTACTGGCATTAACATGTGTCTTCTGTTTGCAGGTGGAGAAGGTTGTCTTCGTTGTGTTCTTTGCCGGTGAGCGAGCTCGCACCAAGATCATGAAAATCTGTGAGGCATTTGGTGCAAATCGTTACCCGTTTCCAGAGGACCCACAGAAACAGAGGCAAATGCATTCTGAGGTGAGCTTCTGTCCGCCAGTTCTTTCTTGTTCATCCACTCGTGGTCCCTCTCGTAGTCATAGTCTGAACGAATGGCCTTTTTGAATGGCAGGTGATTGCACGGTTATCAGAATTGCAGACCACCATTGATGCAGGCAACAGACACAGAGACAGTTTGCTGAACAACATAAGCTACCAGATCGAAAACTGGGCAAGCCTGGTACGGAATCCTAGCAGTGCTATCTGTTTCTCCCCAGCACTATTAACTGTGCATCATTGATCCTGTTTCTTCTCTTGTTTGAACCTGACACAAAGCGTTGATAATGCATCAACAGGTTCGGAGGGAAAAGGCTATCTACCACATATTGAACCAGCTGTCCATCGATGTCACTCGCAAGTGCCTTTTGGCTGAGGCATGGTGTCCCGTGTATGCGAAGTCAGAGGTATGGCTGATGATGAGCATTGCTAGATGGCTGATCATGGTTTGGATTTGAGAGCGTTGAGGAGAACGACATGTTATTCCATAAAACTGTTAATGCCAAAACTGGGTTGCATGGCAATTTGCAGATTCAAGATGCTCTTCATCGTGCAGTGACCATGAGCAAGGCAGATGTGGGTACTATCTTTCAGACGATTCGGTCTGGCGAGTCCCCTCCAACATACTTCAAGACCAACAAGTTCACTGGTGCTTTCCAAGGGATCATCGATGCTTACGGGTGAGTATCTTAAGAATTAAAACATGAAGACCCTGATTTGTGGAAATCATTATTAGGAGCAATGCTTAATTTTTTTGCTTCATCCACTTTTTTCTGTTGTGGCAGCATGGCACGGTACCGGGAAGCCAACCCTGGGGTTTTCACCATCATCACCTTTCCGTTTCTCTTTGCTGTCATGTTTGGTGACTGGGGTCATGGCATCCTGATGCTCCTTGCATCCCTCTGGCTTGTCAAGAACGAGAGAAAGTTGGGCTCCCAGGTAATAATTGGAGATTCGTTTACATGTTTGTCCAAACCTACCAGACAATGACATGGGCCATGTTGTTCACAAATATCTTTACCTGTTCACCAAATTTGAAATCTATGCTGCAGAAACTTGGTGACATCATGGAGATGGTTTATGGAGGCCGCTACCTCATCCTGCTTATGTCTATTTTCTCCATCTACACTGGCTTCGTTTACAACGAGTTCTTCGCTGTTGCGTTCGATTTCGCCATATTTGGTGGCTCGGCATACACTTGTCGCACCCCAGACTGCGGGTACGGCCTTTTTATTTTCTTAGCAATTCTTTCCCACATTTCGAACGATATATTTATATTGGCATGTGCCATGGCACGCTGTCATTCCTATTCGTGGTGGCTGTCTGACTCCTCTTCATCTTTATCTGTGGGCCCCAAAATTCTTGTCCACCCTCCTTCGTCCTCTCAACACCATTCCCCTATCCCTCCTTTCCCTTCCAAATCTATCAGTGATGCAGCCTCTGCTGGTTTGGTGAAGACAGGCAACACGTACCTTTTTGGAGTGGACCCTCGGTGGAAGGGATCTCGCACAGAGCTGCCCTTCTTGAATTCACTCAAGATGAAGATGAGCATTGTGCTGGGAGTCACTCACATGTTTCTGGGCCTTGCTCTCAGCCTCTGCAACGCCCTCTTCTTTGACCTTCCACTCAACATTTGGTGGGTGCTTTACACACATTCCGAGTTCATTGCGTTTTGAACGAGTCTTTTTCTGCTTATGTGCATGCTCATGTCCCTTGGTGAGTTCTTATTCCTGTGCCTTCACTCTCATCCATCTTCATGCATCTGTGTCTCCTCACCACTTGTAGGTACGAGTTCATCCCACAGGTCCTATTCTTGGCTTCTTTGTTCGGCTATCTCTCGCTGCTCATCATAGTCAAGTGGATCACAGCCTCCCAAGCTGATCTCTACCATGTCATGATCTACATGTTCCTCAACCCCACTGAGCCACTGGGAGAGAATGAGTTGTTTTGGGGGCAAGGAACACTTCAGGTCAGTTCACCTATGTTCACGTGTGGTCACACTACTTCTCTTGGCATAGCAAGCTACCTTCAGTTAATGTGTACTAATTATTGTGCCTCCTGCTCATTCCTTTCTTGCTTCGCAGATCGTCTTGCTACTTATTGCACTGATTTCTGTTCCGTGGATGCTTTTTCCCAAGCCTCTGATTCTAAGGGCTGAGCACATGAAGGTGAGTCAGCTGCTGAAGCTGCTATTGGTCCCATTTGAAACCTGCAACAAACATTTGTAAGAGCCACTGCCTATTCTGCTGCTCTTGTCAAATGGTCTCACAAAGCAAGTCAGTGCCTTGACTTCCTTTTATTCATTCTCCCCCAACCCTCCTTCACATGATACGTACCATGCACCTGTGCCCTGCATACAGAAACGTCAGGGGCGGGCATACGCTGCGCTGAACTCAGACAATGAACTGTATGAGATGGAGGCGTTGCACCCAGGGGAGGAGGGGCACTTGCATCATCATCAACATGAGGAGGAGTTCGATTTCGGGGAGGTGATGGTGCATCAGATGATTCACACCATCGAGTTTGTGCTGGGCGCCGTCTCCAACACGGCCTCCTACCTGCGTCTCTGGGCTCTCAGGTGCGTTTTCAATACACACTTTGAACATTCTTTTTTCTTTTTTTGTTGTCTCAGATGCTTACATTGTGTTGGGCGTTTGAGGAACCTTTCACCTTCCTGATTCTCCTATCAAATTCTGCTGTTTCTCTGTCACCTTCGCCCATGGAAACAGCTTGGCGCATGCAGAACTTTCGGCTGTCTTTTTTGAGCGAGTTCTGCTTCCAGCATTCGAGTAAGTTCGCCATTATCTCTCTCCACTTGTCTGATCCTCCACTGCCCCTTCCTTCTCTTTCTGCTAGTTTGCTTGGCAAAACTCCTCGGTCTCAACTTGATGTTTCTTATCCTTGCAGGTCTGGAAACATCATTTTCATTATCATTGGATTCTTTGTCTTCGCATCAGCAACCGTTGGTGTGCTTCTACTCATGGAGACCCTCAGTGCGTTCCTCCATGCACTCCGTCTGCACTGGGTCGAGTTCATGAACAAGTTCTACACTGGAGATGGATACAAGTTCCTACCATTCTCGTTCGATACAATCACTGATGACGAAGAGTAGAGCACAGAGACATTTGCACTGCAGCATTGCTGTAGTTGCTGTTTCATGAGCTGCCACAAGTTAACCTGCTGCATGCTAGCTTTTAGCTGACGTAGTTATGTGTTGGATACCTGTAGATTTTTGTTCCAACTGCTCTTACTGCCGAAGGCCATCATTGCGCTCTGCACATTCGACTACTCATGGGATGCTTGGCTAATTTGTTGTGGAGCATTATTTCAAGAATGAGAACTGTGGCGAAGTAACATTGCACTAGCAGGTAGGTAACATTGCATTATTTCAAGAATGAGAACTGTGTTGTGGAGCATTATTTCAAGAATGAGAACTGTGGCGAAGTAACATTGCACTAGCAGGTGCTCCAAATGTAGGTAACCACGGAAACTGATCTTTCAACCACCTACAAAGTCCCTGCAATCTCAATAATCTTGGCAACCACTGCTGCTCTGTCTTCCTGAGTTAGAGGAGCCCCTTCCTGCATGATCCTCTTCCGGAGGTCACGTGCTGCTGGATCAAGCGAAGAGCCTACAACCTGTTACCGATGAAAAATGACGAACAGGGTGCGTGAATGGTCAGCAGTGTGCTCAGTTGTTGCAAACTTGGGCATGGAACCATATAATCACAAAATAAAGGCTAATTAGAAAACACTGGTGAGACAATTTCAATTTATGAGACGGTTCCCGAAAGGACAGGCCCATACCTCAATGTAGTTGTTGACATTGTAGTCACGATCGGGTGGAGTGAGAGGCGCATCGGGGTTGTATGACCAGTGCGTGCCGTTCACGATGTGCTTGTAATAGTATGTGCCAATCTGCAAACCTCAGAACAGAAGCAAAAAACAAAACCACACACAGCGTTGCACACGAGAAACAGTGTTGAAACGTTTCCACTTATCAGTAACTGGCTACTGCCACCTCTTATTGGTCACATCCAAACACACGTACACGTTAAATGCAGCACCCAAGGCAGCTCAAGACGGAATGTACACGCAAGTGACACCAAACTGTATTTAAAACGTACCGGCAGCTCTCTTGTGAGTGTCCATGTGTTGGATGCCGGCTCACGAGTCAATGGCAGGCGCTGGGAGGAAGACGGGAGGGGATGTAGTGGGGTGGGGGTTTGAAGGGAAGAACGGCGTGGTTGAGATGAGAGACGAAGGAAGGGAAAAGAAAGAAGCGTGACATTTTGAAAACGAAGTGACAAGATTGATAAGCTCCAGAGGGAAAGGGGTTACAGATGGACAAAAGGGTCACCATTGCAAATTGCCATATCCGCCGTTCGCCATGTGTACCATGATTCTTCCGGCAACATACAGTGTGGGCAGTACAATGTGCACGGCACAGTGCCAGCCAAAAGCATGCCAGCACATGGCACAAGGCAGCCACCGGCCAATCACATGTGTCACATGACAAAAATATCACTGTCCACTCACAGGGTGCCACGTGAAAAAATCACCAGCAACTCACATGATGCCACGTGGAAAAATCACCAGCCACTCACATGGTGCCAGCCAACATCCAGGCCCGCCACCTCCACGGTCTCATTGACTCCTCGGTTCCTCCAGTTGATCTCCACTTGCTCCAGGGGATTGCCCGTTAGCTGAGAGGAGGGATGGCCATTCAAGGATGAGAGAGAAACATTGTGGGCAGTTGAGAAGCCAATTCAAAAAGGGGCTGCCATGTTATTTCTTGATTTTGCAGTGGTGAGGTGATTGATCGAAGAGGGGTTCATGTATGGTGCCCCCATCCATGCCCCAAGATGGTTAGTTTCCAATCGTAGGAGGTACATTGACTAATGAGGCATGTGTTCCTTATAACAGTGCCTGTGTTGTCTTTTGAATGCACGTTGCTTATGGCGAGGAGAGGCGTGGGTGACTTACCAGATCACATGCAGCTGCTCGGATGGCAAACAGCTTGGGCCCACATGGACGGACTTTCTGTGCTCAGTCACACACACAGAAGCATCATATGAACATAGATAAACACACTGAACATGGATAACCAAGGAATGCACATAACGAAAAATGAAGTTGGAAAAGACGCACATCTGGCGGTCCTTTAGCTCACACGTCTCTTCCCACCTACATTGCTCATTGCTATCTCCTCTAACCCTGTCGATTCTTCTCCTCTCCTCCACCAGCCCCTCACCACCACCGATCCCCCATCTGCCCCACACATACCTGCAGGATTTCATTTGCCTCTTCCAGTTGAAGGTCGCGCATCCACCACATATAGGCGAGCTGTTAGGGTTGGAGGGGGGCAGGTGTGGAGAGGGGTGGAGAGCGGTGAAGAGGAGTGGAGACGGATGAGGAGCAGAAAAGGGGGAGAGGAGCATAGATGTGGATAGGAGCAGAAAGGGGGGTGAGGGGCAGGGTAGGGAAGTGGATAGGGCAGAGGGGGCGGAGGGCGGAGAGGCAGAAATTGTGAGGTGAGATGGCAATGGCAACAAACTGCTCGAAGGTTAGAAAGCTTGACGGCGGTACGATAGAGGGTGCTATAGCTGAGGCTAGGCTCATGCTACAACCAGAACTTAGCGCTACAGCCGGGGCCCTGCCAAGGCCGGCAGTGCAGTGCACATACGCCGTGCCACACTCCATAACTGCCTTGTGCAGCGCTGCTACAGCTGCTGGCTAGATACGCGCTACAGCTAAAACTCGCCACTAGTACCAGAACTCACCGCTACAGCCGGGGCCCTGCCAAGGCCGGCAGTGCAGTGCACATATGCGGTGCCACACTCCATCACTGCCTTGTGCAGCGCTGCTACAGCCCTCGGCAGCTGCATGCGCAGGTCAAAGGGGTCAAAGTCCCTGATCTCAGTCCACAAGTGCCGAATGTCGCCACGCTCTGCCGCCCGCTCGATGATCGGGTTGATATCCAGATCAAAGTACCTGTTGGGGAATAGTACGTGTGCAAGCACAGGGTGAACTATCTGTTGTCGATGGCATTTCCTCAATAAGAATGTTGGAGTAGACCCAGAATCACCTTCTAAGTTTCACCAAGAAAGAACAACGCCTTGACTGAATCTGACTTCTACATCGACTGAATACGACCTCTTAAGTTAGCTACACATTTTCTGTCTTGACAGTAGACGTCTCATCCAGCGGATCCTCTCAACGCCACTCACTCAAGGTCAGAGTTGCGTTGCACGCACTGCACTGCCCCCACGCCCGCCAAATCGTACAGGTGTATTAGAGCCACTTTAGAGTTGATTCAAAGACCCGCTTAACAGCACTCACTCGAGGTCAGAGTCGCGCTGCAGGCACTGCACCGCCCCCACGCCCTCCACATCCCGCAGGTGGTCCAGATCCAAGGGGGACTGTAACAGGTGGCCGGGATAAAACAGAGTGCAGTAGAGGCAGAAAGAGGGCTTGTAAAGGGTACAGGCCTTGTGGGAATTGGTGGCAGGGTGGTGTGGATAACGCGACTAGGCTGAGGGAGAGTGAGGGGCATGGCTTCTAGGAAGTTTCTATGAGGCGGGTCCAGAGAAGAGGGAGAGCGAGGGGCGTGTAAATAGAAAGAACGCACGTTTAGTGAGGTGGTAGAGAGCGAGCGAGGTAGCCAAGAGATGAAAAGGATTATCAATGTGGCGAGACAAGACCATGAGGAAGCTGAAAGAGGATGCATGGAGGGAGAAACGGGGTGAGAGGACAGACAGTTAGGGAAAAAGCGGGAGAACAAAGGTAGTAACGGAAAGAGAGGTAAGGTAGTAGAAGAGGCAGGAAGCAAGGGCACTTGCCTGCAGGCAGGAGCCGACGATGAGATTGGGCAGCACGCGCGCATAGTTCATGCCCAGCTCGTGACGGTACACCAGCGCTGGAGGCACAATCAGATCAGATCAGATCAGATCAGATCAGATCGGGCGTGAAGCGCAGAGAGAGAGAGAGGAAGGGAGGAGGAAGTGTGAGGAACAAGTCATACTTGATGCGCAGCTCATGGTCGGGATGTTTGAGTGTGACAGGACACACGCGCAGGGACGGAGGAGGACAGGGAGGGGTGAGGACGAGGTGCGTGCGATAACCACGCACCTGTGTTCCCCATGGCCATCTGCATGGTGGCGGAATACTCCTCGCCCTTCTCCCGCGCATCACTCTCCGAATGCTCCTCCGCGGCCTGACTCGCCTCAAGCACATCAGGCTAAACACGCACCTGTGTTCCCCATGGCCATCTGCATGGTAGCGGAATACTCCTCGCCCTTCTCCCGCGCGTCCAAGTCCGAATGCTCCTCCGCGGGCTGACTCGCCTCCAGCACAGCCCCCACCGCAGCAGCCACAACACCCCCCTCCACAGCTCCCTTCAGCGCAGCAGCAGCTCCTTCCGCCAACCACTGCAGCGGCTGCTGCTGCTGGTTCTCCTGCTTCTTCTCCTCCTCCGCCTGATCCGCCGCATGAGACTTGGCCTCATGCTCATCCCCTTCGCTGTATCCCGAGGAGTCTTCATACAACCTCGCCTGAACTTGAACCGTCTCCACCCTCTCCTCCCCCTCCTCCTCTTCCTCTTCCCAATGCTCCTCTTCGTCTTCCTCGAATTCCTCTTCGTCCTCCTCGTCCCACTCACCACCTCCGTTTTCAGTCATGAAACCATTTCTGACCCAGCTGGCCGTGCGCTGACCTGTCGCGTGGTTCGTCAGTCGACTTTTCAGGGGATTTGTCAGGTGAGGTTTACAGATTCGCGAGGAATGCAGCTGCAGGCGAGTCGGGAAGCGGCGGTTGGCAGGCTCATATCTGCTGGGAGAAGGAGGATATGGAACCAAAAGAATTACGATAATCAGATGCACGTTGTAAACGTGAACAAACGTCACAACGCGTACGTGTTGAAGTAAATTACAGCTTAAGAACAGGAAAGTAGGGGAATAATGCAGAGACGACGCGTTTCGGGATTCTGAAACATTTTGAAGTAGTGCGAATATGGTTACAGATCGCGCTGACACATTGCAGTCCGTGTCCGCTTCATCGTTATTCACGACGTTGGCGATAACCCTAAACTTGAGTAACCCAAATTCCGCTTCAGTGATGTTGCATACTGTCTAACGTGGACAATGTCGGCTTCATCGTACCTTGCGAGATCGACGGAAACAGTGACAGCAGAAACGCCTCCTCGCAGGCACAATGCCATGATTAAGAATTATGTCGCTGGAGAACGATGCTGACGACGAGCAATCCCGAACGACGCTATGCGGGCTTGCTGGAGCCAACTTCAAGCTGGATATAGAAGTTAGATACCGTGCTGGCTCTGAGAGCTAGGAACTACGAAGAACTCTCATATACTGTACTGACTCTGAGAAAAAAGCATCCTGGCTTCAAGTATTGATCAGATTCGGACCCGATCATTTCCTGAACTAGGTTGGATGCGGTCTTGTACGTTTCTTTGAAGTTTCATGCATTGTATTGGTAACGAAAAGCGGTTGAGTAGGGTGATGCAGCGCTTATGAAAAAGTGCTTTGGATGCTGTGTACCTGACGTGTGATCGAGGAACCCGATGTTCGCTGGTTGGTTGAATAGAGGATATTCTTCCGTCTCCGATGTTCATCCGACGGCAGAGCGGCAGTATGTCCAAGCGGGTGCCACGTGGATTCTCGCTCGCTTTGGAAAAAAACAAGACTCGACGTTAACGTCGGAAGGGTTGCGTAGATGTTCCTTTCTTAGTTGACAAAAAAAAATTGCAGTTTTTAAAAAGCGTCAAATTTAGGCCTACCGTTCAAGGAATATTGCAAGCGTTTTTTGATGGTTCAATCTATTCTTTTCAACGTGGATGTTTATGATTCTTCACAATTGATGTTTCTAATACGTTAATATCCAGACACATTGATCGTTTTTTGTTTTATATAGTGAACAACGATGTTCTCTTTACTTTGTATTGTAACATTGCACTATTTTGTGTGGTTCATAGTGAGTTGTTTTCAGCCCACTCAGTGTCACGTGATTGTGCGTGTGTTTTCACGTGACAAACCCACCCACCTGTTGCTTCTCCCAACCACCCACCTCGTCATAGCCTCTACCTCCACCCCGCCATCCTTTCTTTCCCACCGCGCCGTCCTCTCTCCCTTCCACACGCCGTCGCCTCCCACCCGCCGTCGCCTCTCCTTCCTACCCGCCGTCGCCTCTCCCTCCTCCTCGCCGTCGCCTTTCCCTCCTCCCCGCCGTCGCGTATCCCTCCTCCCCGCCGTCGCGTATCCCTCCTCCCCGCCGTCGCGTATCCCTCCTCCCCGCCGTCGCCTCTCCCTCCTCCCCGCCGTCGCCTCTCCCTCCTCCCCGCCGTCGCGTTTCCCTCCTCCCCGCCGTCGCCTCTCCCTCCTCCCCGCCGCCGCCTCTACCTCCTCCCCGCCGTCGCCTCTCAAACCTCCTCGCCATCGCCTCTCCTTCCCTCCCCGCCGTCGCCTCTCCTTCCCTCCCCGCCGTCGCCTCCGGCGACAGGTGCACGAGCGCAAGCGAGACTTGGTGTGCGAGTGCATGTTGGTGCGCGAGCGCGGGTTGGTGCGCCAGCGCGGGTTGTTTTCTGAGGCACCGTTGTTATCAGGTGTGTTCCCGGTCCATTCATCCTCCCTTCCCCCACTAAATTCTCCTCCCCCCCTCCCTCCCCTCTTTTTGTTTTCTTTGCTCTCCTCGTAAAGTTTTTGTGTAGATTGGTCTCCTCTCGCATTGCACTTTCATTTGAAGAAGGGGAGAGACGGAGAGCGAGGGAGAGCATGTACACGGGAGCGAACACGCAGGAAAGCGCGCGTGAGAGTGCGCGTGAGAGAGCGCACGAGAGAGCGCACGAGAGAGCGCACGAGAGAGCGTACGAGAGAGCGCACGAGAGAGCGCACGAGAGAGCGCACGAGAGAGCGCACGAGAGAGCACGTGAGGGAGCGCGTGAGAGAGCGCGTGCGAGTGAGAGTGCTCCTGAGAGTGTGCGTGATAGAGCGCGTGAGAGAGCTCATGCGCGTAAAGGAGCGCGTGCGCGTGGGAGAGCGCGTGCGCGTGAGAGTGCGCGTGCGCGTAAGAGAGCTCGTGAGAGTGCGCGTGAGAGAGCGCGTGAGAGTGCGGATGAGAGTGCGCGTGAGGGAGCGAATGAGAGTGCAAGTGAGAGTGCACGTGAGATTGCACGTGAGAGTGCAAGTGAGAGTGCGCTTGAGTGAGTGCGTGAGAGAGAGCACGTGAGGGAGCACGTGGGAGAGCGCGTGGGAGAGCGCGTGAGAGAGCGCATGAGAGAGAGCGCGTGAGAGAGAGCGCGTGAGAGAGCGAGTGAGACGCGTGAGAGATTGCATGAGAGTGCGCGTGAGAGAGCGCGTGAGAGAGCGCGTGAGAGAGTGCGTGAGAGAGCACGTGAGGGAGCGCGTGAGAGAGCGCGTGAGGGAGCGCGTGAGAGAGCGCGTGAGAGAGTGCGTGAGAGAGCGCGTGAGAGACGCGTGAGAGAGCGCGTGAGAGACGCGTGAGAGAGCGCGTGAGAGAGCGCGTAAAAGCGCGCGCGAGAGCGCACGTGAGAGAGGGCGTGAGAGAGGGCGTGAGAGGGCGCGTGAGAGTGCGTGAGAGAGCGCGTGAGAGAGAGCGTGAGAGAGTGCGTGAGAGCGCATGAGAGTTCGCGTGAGAGAGCGAGTGAGGGAGCGCGTGCGAGAGAGCATGAGAAAGAGCATGAGAGGGCACGTGAGAGAGCGCGTGAGAGAACGCATGACAGAGCGCGTGAGAGTGCGTGTGATAGAGCGCGTGAGAGAGCGCATGAGAGAGTGCGTGAGAGACGCGTGAAAGCGTGCGTGAGAGAGCGCGTGAGAGAGCGCGTGAGTGAGCGCGTGAGAGAACGCGTGAGAGAGCGCGTTAGAGAATGCGTGAGAGAGCACATGAGAGAGCGCGTGAGAGTGCGCGTGAGAGAGCGCGTGAGAGAGCGTGGAGAGAGCGCGTGAGAGACCGCGTGAGAGACCGCGTGAGAGAGCGCGTTAGAGAATGCGTAAGAGAGCACATGAGAGAGCGCGTGAGAGTGCGCGTGAGAGAGCGCGTGAGAGAGCGTGGAGAGAGCGCGTGAGAGAGCGCGTGAGAGACGCGTGAGAGACGCGTGAAAGCGTCCGTGAGAGCGCACGTGAGAGAGGGCGTGAGAGAGCACGTGAGAGAGCGCGTGAGAGAAAGTGTGAGAGAGCGCGTAAGGGAGCGCGTGAGAGCGTGTGAGAGCACGTGAGAGAGCCCTAAAAGAGCAGGTGAGAGAGCGCGTGAGAGAGTGTGAGAGAGCGCATGAGAGAGTGCGTGAGAGTGCATGAGAGAGTGCGTGAGAGAGTGCGTGAGAGATTGCGTGAGAGAACGCACGAGAGAGCTTTATGAGCACGCTGGGGCATATGCACTAGCATCTATTCTGCTGGTGCTTGGGCAGCTGGGACTACTTATACAAACGAGTGTCGCTTTCTGCACTAGTGTTTAGTGTGTCGGCTTCTAAGGTGTTTGCTTCTCTGTTTTTGCTGTGTGCGGGCCGTGTGTGTGTTTGCTTCTCTGTTTTTGCTGTGTGCGGGCCGTGTGTGTGTTTGCTTCTCTGTTTTGCTGTGTGCAGGCCGTGTGTGTGTTTGCTTCTCTGTTTTTGCTGTGTGCAGGCAGTGTGTGTGTTTGCTTCTCTGTTTTTGCTGTGTGCAGGCTGTGTGTGTGTTTGCTTCTCTGCTTTCGCTTTGTGCAGGGCGCGTGAGCTGAGAAGGGAGATGAGGGAGGGAGTGGGAGGGAGATGAGGGAAGGAGGGACGGAGGGGTGTAGGGAGGGTTAAGGGAGATCAGGGAGGGGGGGAGGGAGGGGAATGGGGGGCAAGGTAGCGATGGTTTATTAATTGGTGAACTTCATTGGCTATGCTTGCAGGCTAGCTGTATGTTTCTGCGTGTTTTTCTATCTGCGTATGTGTGTGCGTACATGTAGGCTATGTAGTTGTGTGGCTCTGTTTCGGGGTGAGTGCTAAGTGCCTCGTGTATACAATTGCGGTTGTGATCGTTGGTGGGGCAGCTTTGGTTGCCTCTTCCATACCAGATCAATCGCAGTTGCATTAACGATGCATTCTAGCATTAGCTTCGAAGCACTCACAACTGGTGTTTCCCGTTTTTGTACAGGTTCGTGTGCTGTCGTTTGGGTCTGTTTTTGTACACGTTCGTGTCCAACCAATTGTTCCATTCGCCGTACTTATCGACGACTATGGAATTATTGGTTACATTTGGTTTCACATTTTTGGGGCAACTAAAAAGTTGAACAGTATTTTTTTCCCAAACGGGCAGGGAAAAATCACTGTTCACGGTCAGTTCCCCAAAAAGTGAAACCAAATGTATAAGGTTGCTACGCAACCCAAAAAATGAGAAAACTCGACCATAGGATAAGGTACCTGATTACACGATACGTGCTACTAAGTACATATACTATGGGGCTTTTTAATGGGTGTTGCGTTTGGGATTTTTTGGCAGTTTTCCGCGTCCTCCTCCCTTTCATTCTCCACCTCCCTTTTCCTTCATTTATGTCCCCCTTTCCCTTTTTCTTCTTTCTGCCTCTGCTCATGTGATGTACGCTTAAAAATTTGCCATCTGCTTCACATATACTGTATGTTCCATTGCTGAAAGTAGCAGTAAAACATGTTAAGCTATAAGGCTAATAAGGACCATAAATAGCCACATCTATTTGGATATCCATCATATCAACGTGTATACTCTTGTATCTCTTAACAAAATAATGTACGGTGATTACATATGTTTTCATTCAAAGCACACTCAGTTCTGTAGGTTATGGAGAAGGAAAGTAAGGCTGCCAAAAAAAAAAGAACCTTAAAGCAACACAAATAAAAAACCCCATCAAGATACCCCATCCTGAAGTGGCCTTGTCAAGTAGAATGGGACTTCCAAAATATGAGGTTGCGAGATCAAACCCCAGAGCTTGCGAGTTCCGCCAGCCCCCCAGAAGGGGGTTTCGCACTGCTCATCTGGGAGTGGACATTGCTGCGATCAGAACTAGTGGTGGTGGGCCCTTTACCTCAATAGCAGACTGAATGTAAATGCTTGAGATGATAAAGACATGCAAATACAGCACTTTCAATGAGAGTACAGGGGAATACCAATCGACCTAGCTAGCCATGTACTCTAAGGGGTACATTCCCTTACTACAGCGAATTCCAACCGTGCGACTCCAGACAGTTACGAAACTGTACGGGCAGAATCCTCGCCACTGCTGCTGCCTGATGCTGTCTGCCCGATGGTCCAGATGCTTGCGTAACCGTGTGACCCTTCGTGTCATTTCCACCCTTTCATCTTCAGCCTCGGTACTGCATGTTTCGATTGCAGCGGCAAGGAGTACACAGTAGTTCATCCATTTTCCAATTTTCGTAACACCCCCCTTCACCCTTGGCCGTAGCAGGTCTTGACCCGCTTGACTACTCCGCTGAGTTCGGAGCAGTGCTGGTACTGCTGACGCGGCAGTTTCTTCGTGAGGAAATCCGCTGCCATGTCACCCGTCGGGCAGTAGGTTAGGTCAACCTTGCCCTTATCAACTTCGTCCTTGACGAAGAAGTACCGCAGCACGATGTGCTTGGTGCGGTTAACGAATCCAGGTTTGTTCGCGATTCTGATCGCACTCTGGTTGTCGCAATGCAGGCGGAAGTTCACCGAGGCTGGAATTTTCGCCTCTTGCAGCAGCTCCTGAAGGTAGAGACCCTCGCGAACAGCTAATGTTGCTGCGATATACTCTGCTTCCGCCGACGACAGGGCAACCAGCTCCTACTTCTGTGAATTCCAGGAGATGGGGCCGCTGGGCTCGAGGCGAAAGAGGTAGCCTGTCCTGGACCGTCGATTGTCGGGATCGGCGGCATGATCAGCGTCCACGTAGCCGATGAGGTTGAAGGATGCGGTTGGGATGGTGGAGTAGCAGAGCCCAACATTGGGCGTGGAGATGAAGAATTGGAGTGCTCGCTGAAGATCTGAGAGGTTCTCAGCCATTGGTTTGCGTGAGTACTGAGCCAGCTGACTCGCGATGTATGAGAGATCTGGTCTACAGGTGACAGAGGCGAAAAGGAGGCAACCCAGCTGCTGCTGGTAAGTCTGAAGCCCAGCTGGGGATAGGGATTTGTTGTCAGGCTTGTGGTTAGGTCACGGAGTACGGTAAGGGGTGGAGAGCGGTGCAGGTGCGATGCTGAAGCGCTTGCCAAGTTCCACTGCTATTTGGCTGCTGAGAGATGAATGGCTTCTGGTGAGTACGTGATGTTGAGGCCGAGGAACTGCTTCACGTCGTGGTTACAGGTAATGTCGACGCGCCCCGCGAGGCTTTTCTCAAACTGATCAAGTAGCTCGGGACTTGACCCTGTGTAGAGGAGGTCGTCGACGTAAACTGTGAGCAAGTTGTATTCGCCGCGAAAATCGCGGCGATACATCCCTGGATCATGAGGCAGTTGCTTGAATCCAATTTCAAGCACGATATTGTGCAGGTACTGCTGCCAAAGCCTGGGCGCCTGTTTAATCCCGTAAAGGGATTTCCGCAGCTGGCAGACGCGCAAGTCCCCTTCGCCATATGTGTGCGGCTGCTCCACGTA